TGTATATATATGGCATGACTATCACTTAACGACAAGGTTAGCATTTCAACCTGCCTCTCTTTATTTTCTACCTCATTTTGATTTCATTCTTTCTCTGATGTGTAGACTATAAACTGATAATGGGACAGTTTTTATTTTCTGCCTTTGTATTTGTTGTGTGTTGTGTTTTTGCCTCGCTTCTGTGAGATGGAGCTGGAGGTTTGGATTGGGTTGGCTTCTGTTCAGTCAACATTTTCTTTATTCCAGTTGATAAAAAGAGTAAATTGTTATAATTTGAAAAATAAAAGAAAAACCACTTCATTCAACAAATGATGGTAAATTAGACGGCATGGGGCTTAGAGTTTGGGGGAGGATGTGGGGAGGTGAGTCAATCACCTCCCATCACTTCTCCATCTCCATGTGCAGTACAAGTGGGTTTGGGGGGGTGGGTTGGTGGGGTTGGGGGTTGGATGTGACTGCTGCTTGTGTGTGACTGTGGTACAGAAAAGCCTGTGTCTATTTTAGGGCTTTACTGTAAAGCTTTCACCCCTGCGTGATTGGGTGGGACACCCCCGCCATCTGAACCCCCCATATCTGCAGGCTACTAGCTGCAGCGGGGAGGAGCTGGAGGAGCTTTGCCCCTCCCTCGTGAGTACACTCCATAGACGCTACTTCCTTCTACTTCCTTCTTTTTTCTCCTTCCTCTTTTTTGTTCTTCTCTACCTCTCTTCAACAGACTTGTGTCCTCCTCTCTTCTTCACGCAGTTGCCTTTAATGTAGGGTTCTTCTGTCGCACTGATAGACTAGATGTACTCAGGCCTCTTTAGAGACTTGCTCTTGTCTAGCAGTTTTCTGCAAATAGCCATGTTTGGTTTCTCTGTTGATCATCAACATCAGAAAGTTTGAGATTTTGTGCCATTTCTGAATGATACAAAATGCTCACTAACTAGTTGTACACACGACATATTTAACTACACATTACTATATATTGCCTACTGCTCCTGCTTAACAAAAACATACATGCACACACTCACATCTGCTTCATATACTGTATATTCTGTGCACACAGAGCATTCTCAATGCATTTGCAATGTAAGCTACTTTTTGAGTGACCTCTATTTTCAAACTAAGCAAACATTGAGTCTGGCTGTGATGACAGATGGACTCGGAACAAGTTTGCCTGACACCATTAGGAACTAAAGGCTACAACACATTCCACACCAGAGACTTTCCACTTTAGTCCTGCTGAATAATTGAAGAATCTCCTTCAGACACCATCTTGTTTCTCCCTGCTTTTATAGTTGGGCGAGTATCAGGCCAGCAGCCTGACTGTAGTGTCTAACCAGTTAACCAATGGTTTGTTAAATGTTATAGAACAAATACAAATACACACATTCATTGACTAATAAGTGTGTGCATTCTAGGGTTTGTATTGCTTACTTCAAAATTTAGAGCAATGTCAAAACCCACTGTGTTGTGAAATGTGAAAGTGAATTCTCTGAAATCCTCCTCTGTAGGATGAGCTCATGTTTTAATTGTTAATGATTTTCTTTAGAACCAAAAAGGAAGAGGATCAATATGTCGTGTGAATTTCTGTCTGAAAAAAAGATCAAATTGATAAAAATGTAGTCTCATTTTATCTCTTGAATAACATATTCACAGATCTATCCATGCATTTACATATTTGTCCACAAATCTCATTGCACATTTACACATTTATTTTACATCTGATCTGCAACAATCTATACATTTGTCAACTAATGTATGCATTCACAAATCTCAGCACAGATTTGCGGATTCTTTTACTTATTTACAGACACTGATTATGCACGTGCGGATTGAGGCACAGATACACACACAGATAATATTGCTACAGTAATGACCCAATAGAAATAGCTTGGTCAAACGTGCAACACTGTAGCAAGTTGAACCTGTTTAGTGAAGCACTGTCTCACTGTTCTTGCACAATATAGAATTTAGTTCACTTGATAAGATTGTGTTCTTCCACGTGTCTCGGCCTCTGTCTGAACCTCTGACCTCCTCTGAATTTCCCAGGGTTCACCGCCATCACAGCCACCAACCCCATCTGGCTGATAAAGACGCGTCTGCAGCTGGATGCCAGGTGAGGAACTTCACTCCTCTTAATACCAATAATGAGAATTTAAACATTATTGTTTGTAGACTTGAATTAAAAGCTCTTTATTGTTACAGAAACCGGGGTGAGCGGCAAATGAACGCGTTTGAGTGCGTGCGGCGGGTGTACCAGATGGACGGCCTGCGAGGCTTTTACAGGGGCATGTCGGCCTCATACGCCGGCATCTCAGAGACCGTTATCCATTTTGTCATCTATGAGAGCATCAAACGTAAACTGCTGGAGTACAAGGCCCACGCCAGCATGGACGAAGAGGAAGAGTCGGTCAAAGATGCCTCAGACTTTGTGGGCATGATGCTCGCAGCAGCCACTTCCAAGACCTGTGCCACCTCCATAGCCTACCCTCATGGTACGCTTCTCTCACACTCACTTTCTCTGCAGATAAAGCCAATGATATTCCATATTTTTGTCAACAACTCTCATGGATTGGCCTTATTGTTTAAATAATGCACTTAGTATGTATTGTATCAACTTTTCAAGTGCTTTTAAATGCATCATTTTAAATATATGGTGAATGAAATGGGGTGTTATGGCAGTGATGTTTTGAGCACAAGGCTCTTCCTCAGATTTTTGATAGAGAAACAGAGTTGCCATCTTAAATACCCACAATCCATTTTGAAAATATCACCATCTATGAACTTATATTTTGTATTTTTTACTATGATATCTACTTTAGTGTGAATATATTCTGTATTGATGATACGTCATGATATTTGTTCAAAATGGGTTGTGGGAATTAAAGATGGCCCCTCTGTTTCTTTGGGTGTGTGGATGTTATATTTTATCTAACATTTTATGATGTTTTGTTGATCCAGCACCTATAAGAAGATTTTATTTTACCAAATGTCTGTGATCCCATTTTTTTTGTGGAGGGTGGTATCATCTTGCCAAAATAAATTGCACCACCGCATAAAAAATCAACCAGAGAAAATGAAGGGTATGTGATTTTCTTCAGCTGTAAACAAGCTGAATGGAGAAAATGTTTTAGCATCATGACTTTTGAGTGAAGCAGTGACTGGAAGTTATCATGTTCCACTTATGCTATAAATATCACTTTCATTCTCCACCACGGCTAAATGCAGCAGTTCAGATACCTTCTCTTTGGCTTGTCTGAAGTCATTCTGGGACATCCAGTCATCAGTATTCTCAGCAGCTTGTTAATCAAAGGATTAGTCTGGTCCAGGGGCGTAGGCTCATAGGTGATAAGTACGACAACAACTAACACAATTTTCTTTCTTTACTCTCAAATTGCAGAAGTGATACGAACACGGCTACGAGAAGAGGGCAGCAAGTATCGCTCCTTCTTCCGAACTCTGCTCACGGTACCAAGGGAGGAGGGATACCGGGCTCTGTACCGTGGCCTGACCACCCACCTCGTCAGACAAATCCCCAACACTGCCATCATGATGTGCACCTATGAGGTGGTGCTTTACCTGTTGGGCCGTTAGCCAGCAGGCACGTGTCCTTCCTGTTTAAAGAGGGAGACGGTTTGCAAATGACTCAGAAGGATGCTCTTTGGCATGTGGGCAGGAAATGTCAAAAATGAAGACCAAAGGAAAACCGAAGATACTCTAGTGGACAAGGAGAGGACACGTGAAATCATATGAAGACCAAGGGTGGGAAAAACAAAAGTTATCATATCAGCCATAACCACCCCCAGTTCCCTTCATCAGACTGCTGGAACAGATAGAGGGCGCTATAGGTTACAGAAGAGGTAATAAGGGTGAGGACAAGAGAATAAAGGACACAGACAAAAACAAAAGGTACCTCTGAAGGAGAAGAATTAACGCACATTTCAGTGGCCTTAACAGAAAAGTGTTTTAGCTCGCTTCCTTTAAGCGAAGGATCAAAATCAGTTCCTCACCTTCGTAGAGATCTGAACTTGACAGGAAAGATAGTTACTAAATATTCTGTAGGTCAGTTTCAAGAATCTCTCCGGGTGCAGACAAATAGTGTCGGCCCTTCATTCAGTGCTGTAAGACTACTGTATGATGAGCTAGCTGGCAGTTGAGGAATGTTAATTTAAGGTCGAATGTGAGAAACAAAGACGTCACTGTTTTCAAGTCACCGAAACACGCTCAACTTTGCACAACAGAAAGTGTGGCTTCAAGCATTCCCCTCACAATCCGCCACTGCCCCCTCCCCTCCCCTCCCTTCACGCCTTGCGAATGTCCTCAGACTCTTGCTAGTGTTTATGAAGAGAAGCTTGAAAAGCTGACTTTCATTCAGTGTTTGATTCCTCTGTAGCTCGGCCTGACTGCGACACGGCTCAGCTGAAGTTGGCCTGTGGCGTAGACGGTTTGTTAAAAGCTGAACAGAGATCAAATATGAGACCGGCTTCGTCCTGCGCACAATCACCGTGCAGGGCTTAAAAAATTCTTGTGTGAAACTACAGGGCGTTGTGTCCTTTGTGAGGTTTGTGTAAGTGTCCAAAAGGCACTCATACTAAGTAACTACATTTAGAGTGTGGCTAACTTGAATTTAATGTGACGCGTCGGGGAAACGTTGGGAGTGGGAGAATATTTATGGAGTTTCATCTGTGAGTTTAACACTTTCACGCTCAAGACTGTGTGTGTGTGTGTGTGTGTGTATATGTGTTTGTGCAACTGCAGTCATGTGTGTGTGTGCCTGCATGTATAATAAATATCTACTCCAGATTTCCCTCCTCTAATTATAAATCTCAAGACTCTGAGTGTGGAGAAGCTCCCATGCGACACCGGGAGCCTTCGCTCCCACTCGCCAGTCCTTACTTCCAGTGGCTTCCATCTGACCTGATAACATGCACTTTTGTGGCCTTTTAGGGGCTTGTGCTTTGCATTTTATTGTGTGGACAGTTTTAACTTGTACATTGTAAAAGAAGGAAAAAAAGTATTACTGTATATCAAAATGGTATTTTGCGCAACTGTTCTTATAGCAGATATATTTTACAGTTTAGAGTTGTCAGTAGTTGTGAAGAATGTCCAAATGTGTTTATATAATATAGATACTGTATATTCATATTATATATTGTTTTTTAGGTCCATGTGTGATCATGCTCTAGTTTGCATTTGCAAATGATTTTCATTTTTGTGCAATTTAACCTCGTTTTGACATCGACTGTTGACATGAATATAAAAATTGCAAAACTTTTTTTAAGTTAATTTTTTTGTTTGTTTGTTTTTCTGCACTTGTATGTTGCTGTGAGCTGCCATTCATTGATTAGTTATTTTACAGCGTTCATTAACAGTGTTCCATTTCGCAACGTTTGGATATTCAGGTAACGTGTTTACATAGTTGTATAGTGTCTGACTAGAGTATTTTTGGTTCACATGCAACATGTTTGGAAAACCTAATTGGGAGTGTTTTAATGTGAGAGTTCAAGAACTGGAATGTGTGCAAAGTCTCTCAGCATAGAGTTAGGATTGTTCAAGACTGAATCCGAGAGATCCAGAAATTCTCTGTTACTAAAGAGGCTTGTGTACAATTCACTGTCTCTAAAACATCTGTTAATAATATTTCTTACAAATTGTATCCAATCAAGATTGATCTCATAAACCTGATAGTGGCGTTGCTTGATTACGATTGGCTGTTTGACGTTGTCGCATTGTCCTAAATTCAATGTAAACTTCTGCCTTTTGGGACGGATTGAATACTATGTAATTGTTTCTTATCAGAAAATCCCATTTGCGTGTCATGTAAAACAATTGCAAATGCTGTCTCAGTGCTCACTCAATCACATGCAAATTAGAAAATTAAAAGAATAGGTTATTGTATTTATTTTACAGGTTACAGAAAACATGATGTTCTTGAACGCTGTCATTGGTCCTCCTCTTTGCAGTATTATGTCGGAGCAAACCGAGGTGCTGTAACTACTCATAATGGTTATGACTTCGTGTCTCCGGTGACTTGTTGCAACTCCTGAGTTGATGGTGCTTGAGAAGAATTGCTGACTCACTTTAACGTCCATGCTTTGCTATAAAACACTAATAGTTTTTATGTCTTCAGCTCCATCGCATTAACACTTGAGGCCAAACTACCAAAATGTGACATGAACAGACAACTGGACAAACAGTACAAACATTTTATTCATTTATTTTTTTTCCGTTTTAACCTCTCATTTCAGTGTCTGTATGCAACTCAGTCTGTTCAGGCTGTAGACTGGATGCAGCCTCATTCAGGCTCTAATGAAACCTGGAAGATTTGTTTTTGCCAGCTCAGTTGTTGATGTGTTTTTGTTTGTTTTTAAAAACAAAAGTAAATAAAATCCATTTTCAACTATAGTTATGTCTGACTTATTTTTGCATTTCTTTACTTACTAAAAAGTATTTGCATATTTGTTCGTAGCAGCTAGAGTTGATCATATGTCAAGATAATTTATGATGAAAAACCACTAACATTTAACACAAAGATGGTCAGAATTCATCCATCATCTATACAGCTTATCCCCTGAGAGTTGCAGGGAAGCTGGAGCCAATCCCAGCGGACATTGGGCGAGAGGCACTGTTCACCCAGAACAGGTCGCCAGCGTACTGCAGGGCAAAACCTCAAGACACA